CGATGGGATTTGAACACCCAACCTACCACTTGGAGGGTTGACAACCTGACCACTTCACTAGGTCGCCACACCCTACAAAAAGCAATTATAAAAAAAGTATACAACTAACTATTTATACAATTTTAGTTATTATTTAATTTAAGTAATCTGCTTAAATATTTTATATTAATTATTATTACTAGTCAAAAAGATAAAATTTAACTATAATTTAATAAAAATTTGACTATAAATTAGAGAGTATTGCTAAACATCACTACAGATGATCATTACTGCAGGTAACTATCACCGTAGGTAATTATCATCACAGATATTATAATTAAAAAGTTCTTAAAATAAACCCAATATTTATATTATGAATTAATCTAAATACTAAAGTTAAGACCTAGGTCTGGGTTCCAACTATAAGATTCGAATCTTAATAATTAGATACAAGCTTACAGTGACATAGTTTTCAAATAATTAGTAATTTTTAGAATGAAGCCAAAAAGAATCAAAAACTGAGCAAAATTTTAAAATATTACAGAATATATAAAAACCTGTATTATTATTATTAGGAACCAGATCTTATGATTAGATTCAGATCTTATTATTAGGATCCAGATCTTGTGATTAGATCTGGATCTTATAATTAGGATCCAGATTTAAGTATTAACTCTACTAATACTAAATACATCATATATACATATGTACATATTGTTCTAAGAATATTGTTATATCCAAAATGGAAATTTATTAAAATTTCCTTATTTCCTTTCTTGTAATATACTAATTTGAGAATCAGTAAGCCACATTGGCTATGGAAAAAATTAGGTTAACTATCAGTTTCAAACTATATATATACTAAAGGAAGTTAACAATTATTAAAAAACATTAGTAACTATCTAAGAAAGAGGAAAACTAATGAAAGTAGTTAGTAATTAACAAGAAAGTTCTAAAATACTTAAGTAATAAAAAGCTACATAAATGGTACTTTCCTGGTATCTTGGGAGAAAAAGTTAAATACTTTAATGTCTTCTATAGTAATATACCTAAATAATAAGAATAGTATAGTATTAGTATTGATTAGTATAGTTTTTATTATTTTATTTGTAATCCTACTTATCTTAATAAAAATTCAAATAGGGGTGTGGCGACCTAGTGAAGTGGTCAGTTTGTCAACCTTCCAAGTGGTAGGTTGGGTGTTCAAATCTCATCGACAGTGAAAATTTGGATAATCATCTATGTAATATTTGTATTATGACAACTGTTACTAACGGTTGGGTTAGGATACCTGTAATGGTGGTCGCACCAGCATGACTGGCAGGTCATGGGGCATCTGTGCAATGTTGGAGTTACACAGAGGAATGCAAACCGACATATCGGGCAGTGCAAACACTAGATAAGTCCTCGTGGCTGTGTAAATCCGTTGAAATTGGGTAACAAGAAGTCCATTTGGGAAGACCTGAGTAGAGGAGTAGCTGGATCTTCGACGGCCCTACTGTAAAGGCTAAGAACCTCTGGGTTGAGAGTCTCAGAGGTACCACCAACTAGGTCGCTGGAACAAACCAGAGAAAAAGAATATTGGGCTAACCCGATATACCGATAGACTGGTTGTAGTCCTACATGGGCTATCTGAATTGGAAGTCTGATAAAAGGGTGGAGAAAAAGGTAGAGATATACTAAAGTATCAGGGTTATGCTGTGAAGTAGATGCTAGGATCTAAGTGAACTCTACAAGAGCATAGCAGTTTAATGATTAGCCCTGACCGCAAGTGTTGGTTCTGCCATAGCGATACCTAGATCAGCTGTAAAAATGGGTACAGAAGGTTCTGGAAGGTTTACCTTGAGGATAAAATAGTCCTAAGGTTGCAGACGATGATCTGGTACATCAGTGATGACCAGTTATATTAACACAGGTTACAGATTCAGAGTGTTTAAAGTAAAACATCCAAGCAGGGGTGTTAGGTATGGCAATTGGTGGGGAACCTTCAGGCGGACTCCTTAAATAGGTAGTATAGAAAAGTTACATGTGTAGCCAATTGTACACTCTCCTGTAGTGGTTCATTGAACCACAATACTGACAAGTGATTAATAAAAGTCAAAAGACCAAAGAGGTCACCTTAAAAAAAGAAAAAAAAAAATAAAAATTCAAATTCTCTGTACTATAAACATAATAACTTTCTAGACAAAAGCTTATGCAAATTATAAACTGGTTCTAAAAAAAAAAAAAAATAAAGAATTAGTAATATTCACACCTTAAATCATAGAATAGTATTATTAACCTATGTATACTTCTCTTTTGTTAACTATCAAGATTGGATTTATGACACAGATAGCTAATTTTATCCAACCTAGTAGTTACAGTGTTCATTATTCAAATTGGTTTAATTTGCTCTTATTTGGATCTCTAAAGTATAGAAGAAAACAAAAATTATTATATTAGCATTAACATGAACTAAATATATAGAGACTTAATATTTCTCTTGCAATTTGACTTCTAGCCAAAAATAAAACAATTTTTAAAAGCAAATTTCATGTTAATAATGTTAAAGTTTCAATTGTAGCCTCAATAATAAAAAGAAACACACATCCAACTATATATATAGTACAAATTTAAAGATGCAAATTTAGCATAGCAATAGACTCATAAAATTTAGTATGAATGATATAGTGCAATAATAAGCATATCATTCATTATAATTAGTAGCATGACATTATATACTTCAATTGTATATTAATAAATTCATAAGCACATCCAACTAATTAGTATATTTTTTAAGCTCGCAAGTATAGGAGTTATGTCTAATATCCTTACAATAGCTACACACATATTTGTTACTTTTTTTTTGTGCCAAGGTATAACTATGTTAAGAAGATTTGTTCAGATTGTTATATTGTCTTGAACTCTGATATGATCCTTCAAGTTGCCTGTTATTTTCATAATCCGATTTATTTATCATATATAAAGAGTAAACAATAATATACCTATTAAAATAAATATAAGAAATAAATTTATTTACCTATTATTACCCAAATCTTCTGTATATTTATTAATTCTTTGCATTGGCTTATCAGTCTTTTGATTATGACATTTGGAAGCATAATTTTCTAATATGCTTTTTAAATATTTTTTAGAAGCACTCTTCATACGTGTCAAATAAGAATTAGTTATATTTGGTAAGTTCTTATCATTAGACTCATTTAAATTGTAACTTGTCTTTCTTTCAGTTTCATTAATCCAATCTCTCAAAAGTTTATTTAATTCATTTTCACAACCAGTTTCAAGAGCCAAACTAACTGCTTTTTTTTGCATATCCAAGGCCTTGATTGTATTTTACTTAGCGAGATAGATTCTGTTTGACAGTCTCTGAAAATATTTGAGTATGATGAATCTTATTAAAAAAATTGAAATCTGGGTTGATTTGATGCTCATATATAGATATGTTATTATTAGGTAAATGCTCTCTACTAATAATAGTAATCACAACTTCTTCTTGAGAATCATATGTTGTTTTATTGTACTATCAAGATGGAATGAGACTGATATAAAACATAGCTTTATCTGAACTGTATATCACCAAAAAAAAATGACGGCAAAGTAGTCCTTCATCATGAGATTCATACAAGTGCACAGATTATTGGCATTTCTGCAAATTATTACAAAGTGTTCTTTCCACTATTTAATAGTTGCTATATGCTAAACCTTTTGAATGATAGACCAGTCTATATATTTAATTAATGAGTCTAAATTTGATATAACAGACTTATATTCGTCTTTGGCAAAACTTATATCATTTGTTGGATTTATCATATCCTCATGATCTGAATTGTATAATTCATAAAAATTTGCATCATCCAAGTTGTTTGCCTACAAATAAAAAACAAATTTTAGAAGCTTTTTGTAAAAACATGATATAGTCAGACCTCCTAAATGCATTCTATAGGAAAAAAACTTTACTTAAAGAACAATAAGAACAATAAGAAAAAATGCATTTATAGATATTTAAAACAGAATTTGAATATGTATGTAAGGAGGTTGTATAGATGAATTTAGAGAGGTCTCACTGTAACAATAAAAAATAAAGATAAATAAAATAAAAAAATAATGATTTTAATCCTGTAACTGACCAAGTTTTTCCAATCTTCAATTTTTTAAATACAGTAAAGTAAGCTTTCCATCATTTGACGATGCTGCATTTTTAGTACTTGTGGAGTAAGTTGACTTTTGAGAGTTTTATTAATTTAGTTAAAATATCTATTTACAACATTAGACAACCCAACAGTTGGATTCTGATTAAGTTGTTCTTCTTGTTCAAACTGTTCTTTCTTATTAAGTTGTAATTGGATTTTAATGTTTAAATCATACAATGTTGTTGAGGTCTTAATTGATCATTTTATTAGAGAATTGTAGCTTTTAACATGTTGATTGATTGTATCCTACTATTAAAAGAGCAATGGGTGTAACATAGCATCTAACCAGTCACATTAACACCAAGGGCATATTTAAGATATTTTTGCACTGCTGGATATTTCATAAGTAGGTCATGCCATCATCTTTTAAATTCACATTTAGAAAAACTGTTTCGACATTTGCTCTATCATCAGAAAAATTTTTGGATAGTTATTAATCAATATATATCAAAAAATCGATATATATCGATTGAAATATAATGATATATATCGCCAGGATAGTTATAAATCGATATATATCAAAATCAATATATATCAATAGATGGATATGTATCGATATTAACAAAAAATTGATTATGATCGAAATTATTTAAATCGATACAAATCGTTATTTACAAAAAAATCGATTTTCTTTGATTTTATTTTAAT